AGCTTATGCTCTAATAAATTTGTTAGTCTCTAAGGTGCCACAAGTACTCCTGTCTTTTTTGCGGATACAGACTAACACGGCTGCTACTCTGAACCCTAAATCAAAAGACATTCTTGACATTTGGACCCAGCCCATCATTGTGCTCTGACTCCTGTGCCGGCTAGCCTGGCTGTTTGTGCCTCCTCCCCAGCAGCTGCAGGCACAGGGAGTGCTCCTGGGCGGGGCGGGAGGGAGTGGGGTTGGGGCATGGACAGGCTGGAGGAGGGAGGGGCGGAAAGAGATAGAGGGGTGTGGCCAGGGTGAAGCTGCACCTCTTATACTCTGCTAAGCCGCAATGTTTCTATTATGGCATAAGCTTTCGTGAATAAAAACCTCACTTCTTCGGATGCATAGAGTGAAAGAGTCTTTCACTCTATGCATCCGAAGAAGTGAGGTTTTTACTCACGAAAGCTTATGCCCAAATAAATCTGTTAGTCTTTAAGGTGCCACCAGACTCCTTGTTGTTTTTGTAGATACAGACTAACACGGCTACCCCCTGATACTTAATGTTTCTATTAACCACCATGTTACACTGCTGCAACACTGGACTCGGGTAACTAGCTGCATCCGCTGCAGCATCTCTGCGCAGCACGGCTCCCCCGCCACAGCTGAATTCCCTCTCCTTGTCCCCGATGGCGCCTTCCCAGACTGCCCCAGGCCGCCTCAGTCTGTCCCCACATCCCCTCCTGCAGCCGCAATGGGAAAGTGGCCTGAGAGGTCTCTGTTTATCCCACACCATGTGCCCTGTAGCCCCTAGTGCAAGCTCCCCGCACCCCCGCTGCCCTTGGCCATTGGGCCCCAGCCCTCACCTGCGGGACAGGAGCTTGGTCTCCCTGCAGTCCCTGGTCTCTCTGCTGGGACTGACAAAAAGGGAGGAAATGGGGGCAGGGCTTGCTGGGTGTGGTTGTGTTACACGGTCACCTGCCCCACTAGGGCCCAGGCTGAGATCCCAGCACATTCCACAGGCCCCTGAGTCGCCATCAGATGGACTGTCAGCCGCGGTCCCTATGGGGGTGGGGGAGGCACTGGGTTATTGCCCTGGGGGAGCTGCTGGGGAAGGGAGGAGACTTACCTGCTCACAGACAATTTTAACCATTATAAAGCTTCAACTTTTTGAATCTCAGTGTCTAGTGTCATTAAATATTTCTGGTCTGACCAAAATATTGTCTGATCCCCCCATAATTTCCCACAACCGTGACAATTTAAATTGGAATGAAATGCTTAAAACCCAGATTGTTGTGCAACTGTGAAAGTTTAAAATCAATAAATATAAAAATAGCTTAAAATAAACATTATCTGTCACAATTATATAATATAAAAAAATTCTCCCCAGTCTGACTATCACTCCTGACACACAGCTCCTGCTCCTCCAGGCTCATCCTCACAGGGGCATGCCTCAGTGACCCTTGCCACCAGCACAGGGGCTGACTGGAGGCCGGGAGCCCTTTGGGGTTTTAATTACAGGCTAATTTCACTGAAAGTTACCTGTCTCAGGTGTGATTGTACATTTTTTCACTAAAGCCTCCAGGGGTGAAATTGGCTGTGTGGTTCCTGCTCAGGAAACAGCAGGAGTCATTTTCAGGCAAGGAAACACCCCCTTGCTGTTGCAGGCAGGGCATAGTGTGAATTCAGGAAATTGAAACTAACCCTGATCCACTGCTCAGAGGGAGCCATGGCTGCAGAGAACCCCGTGGAAAGTCTCCAGGAGGAAGCTACATGTCCCATCTGTCTGGACTATTTCACAGAACCTTTGAGTCTGGAGTGTGGGCACAATTTCTGCCGAGCCTGCATCAGCCAGTGCTGGGAGGGATCCGATACAGCCGCCTCGTGCCCTCAGTGCAGAGAAACTGTGCAACAGAGAAACCTCAGGCCCAACAGGCAGCTGGCAAATGTCGTAGAAATCGCCAAGCGGCTGAATTTACAAGCAGCAAAGGCAGCAGGAGGGGACGGGGTGTGTGGGGAACACCAGGAGACTCTGAAACTGTTCTGTGAAGAGGATGAAACCCCCATCTGTGTCGTGTGTGACAAATCCCGGGCTCACCGCGCTCAAATGGTGGTTCCCATAGAGGAAGCTGCCCAGGAGTACAAGGTAGGGAATTGCTGTCAGATTGAATGGGTTAACTTTTGGGTTTTAATGATAGGCTAATTTCACTGAAAGTTACCTGCTGTAGACAATGGATCGTGTGGTGTGTCCTGGATGGAAGCTGGAGGCATGTAGGTAAGTGTAGCGTTTCCGGTATAGGGTGGTATT